TTTAGTGCTGGGATGTAATGTCTGTTTACTCATTTACCCACCATACAGTCCTTCATTCAAAGAACTGTTATAAAGTCAGTGTGAACTGCTCTGAAATATTAAAACAGTGTACTGTATTGTTTGAAACTATTAGACCTTTATTACATTCTTTTCTACATAATACTTCTGGTCTGGCAGTGACTTGTTGAATAGCTCACTGCTAGGTGTTTTTCCTTATTTTACCTATTTTTCCAGCAATCTATGACTTACTTTAATGTCATTATTGGATATTATGTCTTTGTTTTGTTTTTATCAGTGTTTTTTCCTTTGAGTCAGAGTCTCATGTGGCCCAAGCTAAACTCAAAGGCACTATGTAGCCAAGGGTGACTGTGAACTCCTAATCCCCCTGCCTCCACCTCTCATCAGCTGGGATTACAGGCCTGTACCCCTCACAAATAACTTCATTGTGTTTTGTACAATTTCTCTTAATATAGGAATTTCCTTTTAGAAGTTAAAGATTAGGGCTGGGGAGATGGCCGGCCAATGAAGTGGTTGCCAGGCAAGTGTGAGGACTTGAGTGTGGATCCCCAGCACCCATGTAAAGAGCTGGGTTCGGTGACATAGGCCTGTATTCCCAGAACTAGGGAAGCTGAGACAAGAAGATTCCTAGGGCTTGCTGGCCAGTCTAGCCTGCTGGTGAGCTCCTGGTCAGTAAGAGACAGATTTAGGAAGATAACCAGTGTCTAACTGTGGCCTCCACATCCACTCCAACACATGTGCATGCCAATCCTCCTTCCCTTGTGCCCCCATACAGAAAAAATTGAAGGTTGAACCAAGAAATTAAGCAATGAAGAATAAAGCTTATAAATGAAAAGGGAAATAGGACAACAGTTCACTCACATATTCTACTGTCTGAACTGAAACCTCCTCAGACTGGCTCCTCCAGGACTAACAGAAAAAAAAAAAAGATAGTGCTGGAAATCTTGGTGTAATTACTTGGTTTTGGTGACATTAGGCCACACAGCTACAAAATGATGGAGACAATGGTCACAGAACCTCCACTTTCCTCCCAATCAAGCTCAAAGCATGGAGCTTGGGACGCCTGGGAGGTCATAGAGTACCATGCCTGGACTCAATAGAGCCTGTTAACCATTAAGAGCATTTTGATTCCTTTGGAGGCTGACAAGGGGTCAGCAAGTAAAATGCAGCATTTCCCAAGTGTATCTGGGAAGTTTGGATATCCAAAATAAAATGAAATCAGAGATAAACTGTCATCCAAATGAGAATGGCAAGGCAGCTTGTCTTTCTCACATGTCTTGGCAAAACTGATCATCACTGCTAGCCTTGTGGCTGTCTCTGGAGACCTCTGAGAGTCTGAAAATTCCAGGAGAGTGTGAAGTGGCCTCAGGTGGAATACATCCTCAGGAGAAGAGCACAGTCCTTTCCATCTAGGAAGAGCTTAGATGACAGCTCCACCTCCTGCCAGTAGAGAAACCAGATCTTCCAAGGATTTCAATACAAAAGTGCAAATTTCAGTATTCATAACAGAAAATGGAGTGAATCTCTTTAGAGCATAAGGCAGAGAATGATTCCTCCAGAAAGACAAGGATTACTGAAATCTGAATAAATATGAGAGTAACAATTTTGGCTTTATTTATTTATATTTGTTTTTTATTTTATGTGTATGAGTGGTTTGCTTTGCATGTATGTTGTGCACCAATGTCATACAATGACCACAGAGGCCAAAGAAGGCATCAGATTCCCTGGAACTGGAATTATGAATGGGTATTAGTCACTATGTGGTTGCTGGAAAATGAATGGGGGTCCTCTGCAAGAGCAGCAAGTGCTCTTAACCTCTGAGCCATCTCTCCAGCCCCAAGATTAATAATATCCAGTAAAGGTGTCAACCACCAAGCCTGATGAGCTAAGTTCAATCCTGGGGACCCACGTAGTAGATGGAGAGAACTGACTCCAGCAAGATGTCCTCTGACCTGCACACACATGCCATGCCATGGCACAGGAATGCGCGCGCGCACACACACACACACACACACAAATAAATAAGTAAATAAATAAATAAATAAATGTTTTTAAAAAGAGTTTTTTGATAAGGAGACATAACAAAGACAAAAAGACAATTTAAACTGAAAGATGAAATTTACAAATACGTGATTGAAAAAGTAGTAGTGAAAATTCAAAGATAGTATGTGAAAGAGAAACTCAGGTCGATATAGTACTGACAAACTGATGGAAAACAGTCTAGAGCCTGAAGCCAGCCTGAGCCCCACTTCAAAATTATATGTGTGTCTATACATGTATACATGTGTTTGCGTGAGAAAAAAGAATCATATATTTTATCAAGACTTTGAAATACAATGTTCATGTATCATGTTGATTTTAAAAATTAAACAGAGGTAGAAATACCCAACAAAATTAGAGTTGGTATCTTTTTTCATAATTGTTTTCCTGTGTTCTGGGAATGGAATCCAGTTTTGCACACCTTCCAAACACTGCACACTCTGCCACTCAGCTACATCCCCCACAGCCTCCTCTCATAGATTATATCTATTGAAAACTGTTCAATACTAAAGAATGGAGGTGAAGGAAATCTGTGTAACATCATCCTCTATAAAAAAGGAATGATATTTTCCATTACAATATTTTTTAAATAATTATTTTTATTTTATTTGTCTGAGTGTATTACCTGCATGTATATAAGTGCACCCATGTCATGCAATACCTACAGAGGTCAGAAGAGGGCATTATGGATGGTTGTTAGCTGCCATGTTAGTGCTGGGAACTGAACCCTGGGTCCTCTGCAAGAACAACCAGTGCTCTTAACCACTAAGCCATCTCTCCAGCACACCCATTTCACTATTTTAAAAACAGAGCTAATGATATATAGCGCAGAGGTAGAGCATGTGCCTAGCATGAGCAAGACCTTGCGTTTAATCCCCAGGCCCAGAAAAGAAAGAAAGAAAGAAAGAAAGAAAGAAAGAAAGAAAGAAAGAAAGAAAGAAAGAAAGAAAGAAAGAAAGAAAGAAAGAAAGAAAGAAAGAAGGAAGGAAGGAAGGAAGGAAGGAAGGAAGGAAGAAAGAAAGGAAGGTACTCAAAGCATGTGATTTAGCTCAGTTAGTAGACTACTTGCCTAACCGGCACAAAGCTCTAGTATCAACAAACCCCACAGCTCTCCTGCCCGCCCACCCCAGCGCATAACACTGGGCATGGTGACTAAAACTGTAATCCTAGCACTAGGGAGACCTTCAGAGTCAACCACAGAGCAAAGAAAGTTTGAGGTCAGGCTGGAATACATGACACCCAGCACCGAAAAATAGTTTTTAACAAAGACAGGTCATCGAAAGAACAAAATAGTTTGAACAGCACATAGGATCCACTCTAAAACAAGTGCCCCACAACATTTCCAGAAATTTGGTAGAAAAGTGTAGAAACATGCAGGAGACTGACACACACTGGCCTGAGGGTAAAGATTTTCTGTGGGGTAAAGGAAGGGTGCCTCTTGATTTAGTTTTTGTTTTTTGTTTTTGTTTATTGTTTGTTTTTTCTGGCCCAGCTTTTGATTTAGTTTTTTGAAGCAGGACCTTGCTAAACATCCCTGATAGGCCTCATACTCACTTTGTAGTCCAGGCTAGCCTGGAATTTATCCCCGCCTTAGTCCCCTGAAGTACTGGAATTAGAGGCCTTCAAACCCAACTCCAGATACTCATTTTGTTTTATGTTTTCAATTTATTTCATTTTTATGTGGATGAGTGATTCGTGTATGTAAGTGCACCATATTCATGCAATGCTCTCAGAGGTCAGAAATGGGTGTCAGATCCCCTGAACTGGAGTTATGGACAGCCTTAGTCCCCTGAAGTACTGGAATTAGAGGCCTTCAAACCCAACTCCAGATACTCATTTTGTTTTATGTTTTCAATTTATTTCATTTTTATGTGGATGAGTGATTCGTGTATGTAAGTGCACCATATTCATGCAATGCTCTCAGAGGTCAGAAATGGGTGTCAGATCCCCTGAACTGGAGTTATGGACAGTTGTTATCTGCTGTGTGGGTGCTTGGAACCAAACCCAGGTCATTTGTAAGAGCAACCAGTGCTCTAAACCATTAGGCCATCTCTCCAGCCTGTTTTATACTTTTGTTTTTTATGACAGGGTCTCACTTAGCCTAGGCTGGCTTCCAAATCACTATTTAGCAAGGAATGGCTTTGAACTCCTGGTCATCCTACCTCTACCTCCAAAGTACTGGGATTGCACCACCTGTGTCTTTAGATACTCATTTTATGAAAAGAGAAGTGGGATAAAGGTGGGGAAATGTGATTACTAAACTGGAGGAGAGTGCATGGGTATTATGATTTGGGGGAATGTGTCATAATTTAAAATTTTGATAAGGCTGAGAAGAAAGGGAGCCTAGTGCCTGAGGAACGGACGTTGCACTAAATGAAATTTGTCTAACTGGTCACATGTGACTTGAAGGATTTCGAAATGCTAAGGACTCAGTGAGAAGATAAACTGGAACACAGAAATTAACAGACCCAAGGAACCCACCCTCGGTCCCTGTCTTTGAAGGTAACATAAACCAGCGCAGCAAAGGTCACCAAGTCAAATTCCCACGGTCAGCGGCGTGCTGAGCGGCCTACCTTGGCCCAAGACAGTCTGGAGATGGGGGGCTGCATCCTACCAGCCTGAACTGCTCCTGGTGACCGACAGGGGCGCTGCGCGCACGGGGCGAGGAGACTTGAAAGCCGCGCAGCCGCGAGGCCACGCCGTCTTTGCAGTCCAGGGCTCCTGGTGGCTCCAGCATGGACGGGCGCGGTTCTGCGGCTGCTGCGGCTGCTGCACCGGACCAACCCCGACCGCCGCGGGCCACCGCCCCGCAGAGGCTGCTCAGCGCCCCGTCCGCGGCCCCGCGGCTCTGCGTGAGGCCCTGGTGGTTCCCCGCGAGGGATCTGAGCGAGCCTCTGCTGCTCTACCTGGAGACCTGGCTGGTCGACGCCATCTTCGGTAAGCCCGACCCTGAGCCTAGGCTAGCTCCCCGCAGCATGCCAAGGCCAGCCCAGCACTCCGTTCCGCTCTCTGCACGCGTGCCCCTCAGATCCCCCGACCTGTGAGGCTTTAGAGGCCCGGGTACCTGTTTAGGCCCAGACCGGATGGTAATCCCAGAAATGGAGTGGCTGAGTCAGGCCTTGCTGAGGGTGGACACGGTGGACACCGGGAACCTGGCCGAAATCACCATCTTTGGACGGCCGCGGGAACAGAATCGCGTGAAGAACATTCTCTTGAACCTGGCGTCATGGCACAAAGAGCACCGAGTCCAGCGAGGTGAGAGGATACAGGCTAGCCCCCGGCCTTAGGGCTGCTTCCCCAGCGTCCCTAACTTTCAAATAATTACTTGCGGTTTCCAAACACCAGCAAACTGCAGTGTCCGTGGGGATCCCTTAAGGAGGCCCTTGAGAAAGTGAGTGGAGGCCAGACACATCCTGGTCATCACCTCTTCGGTGGGCCCCACCACTGCCCATTGTAATCCCAGGTTTAGGACCTCTGTTCCTCCTCCCAATCGAGATAAACGTTTTCCCTTGTTGGTGTTAATTGCTTGTCTTCCAGCTAAGAAGATGGAACAACTTGAGGAGTTCTTGAAGGTTCATTCCTCAATTCAGCCCCTCCTGGCGCCTGTTGAAAAGGGAGTCCTAGTCAGGAGCACGGTGAGGGTCAGCTCTGCTTCTGCCCCTGGAGTTGAAAAGGAACAAGTCTTCTGAAACGTGTTTTCGTTATTTTCCAGTCCTTCGTGGACAGCTTTTTTGTTTTTGCAAATACAAGTTTGTATCCCAGTGTAAAAACGATTAGGTTTTTTTGTCTGATGTTAATGTGATTTTTGCTCACATAAAATAAAGCAAATTTATAAAATGTTTACCATTTGTGGGTAGATGTGAGGGCTGGGTAGGTTGTGTTCCTACCGTTTGAGCCTTCAACTTTTTTGTAGTCAGCCACGTCCTCTGGAAGGGCAATTGACGTCACTAAAGTGGGTCTTTTTTTTTTTTTAATTGTTTGTCTAGTGGGGTGGCCTCAAGTTTTGCCCTCGCCACACCAGTATCTAGGCTTATAGGCAGCATACCACCACCACCCTCACCCCTTTGTATATCTTACCTAATTAGTTCTCTAACTTTATTTACAAAGAAATCACTCTGGATCTTCCTTAGAGAATTTCCTAGGCCCCTTTCCAGTGATTCTCAATACATTGAGAGGGGCTCATTGATTTGCATTTGTAACAAATTCACCATCCAAAACAACCCTTTGTGGAAATCACTTTGAAGCTGGTCTTTAATCTGGTAAAGCACCAGCTGTGTGTGTTGACTTGGGTGGTTTTCCAGTCATGAGGTGAAGTGGTTCTCATTTAATGCCGATGATGCCATTCAACAGAAACACCAGGGTTCGGTGCCTTTTACCTTCTGAGGCCATAGGCCTCGGAGTTGCCTGTCCTTGTGGTGTAGAGCAGCTTCCTCCCAATTGAAGCATTCCCCTTAGGAGGGAAAGGGAGGCACTTGTCGGAAACCTGAGACTTGGAAGAGTCACCAGCCCCCTCCCAGGTATATAGAATCAGTAAACCACTGCAGCAGGAGAAAACTGACCAGCTGAGCTGCTCAAGGAGAGGTTTTCAGACCTGGCAAGCTGCATGGAAGTATGGCAGAGATCCCCAGGGTCACAGCTTTCCAGAGTCACCTATGTTGGGGTGGCTTTTCAGTGATGCAGCTGCTTTTGAGTAATTTCTGCCCAGTAAAGACCCCCTCACCCATACTGCTGGAAGTAACCCCAATAAAAACTCATTGGTTCACCAAGTCAGACTTTGATACTATCATTTCTTTGGTCTGTGTAAGTTCTCTTTTTGGGCTGAGAAGACCGTGTGTATTGTACAGCTCACAGGAAATGTCTCTCCCACAACACCCTATTTGATGTGCACAGGTGTCCCTATTACACTACAGTGACCAATCTGTAAGACAGCTCTTGCCGCCACTCTCAGGAAGGGGATTATGGGTCAGAAAGTGCATGAGCTCTGCGGGTTTAGGCAAAGTTGAGGTTGGTTTGGCTTCTTGTTTTAGCTTTTTAAATTATCCTTTGACAGTAAAAAGTGTGGGTCTTTGGCTGGAGGTCTTTTGAATTGAATATCAGTTGGTTTTGTTTTCAAGTTTATTCCTGTCCTGGCTTTCAACTCTGAAAATGTGTTTTTTTATTTAGAGTTTTTGTTTGTTTTTAGTGGGGATTGAGCATGCTAAGCATGAAGATAGATTTTATTATCTGTATAAATTTTTGTAGCAAACACTAGTCCATTATTAGCAATGTTTCCATCTTCTTCCCTCCCAGAGTTTTAGCCTGGGAGCATTTTCATTTGATGTAGCTAATAGTTCCTCTAGATTCTCTAGATCCCCACCCCATGCCTTCAAGCTTAGGAGCGCCCATATTCTGTCTTGTAGAATTTTTTTTCTGATGAGAATTTTACAAAAAAATGAATTTTTGACTTTATTTATGAGAGCAGGTTCTTTAAAACTTCAGTTTTTCAAAATTTAATTTCTGGCCAATTCATATTCTTACCATCCTTTGCATTCATTAGCATATTCTGAAGTCCCAAACCCCAGGACCTCACACTGACCGTATTTGGAGATAGAGCCTTTAAAAAGGCAATGAAAGTCAAATTAGAGTCATGTGGCTAGACCCTTAGCCCATATGAACACATCCTTGTGGAAGGAGGAAATTTGGACAAATGTGAACACAGAAGATCATTTAATGACCCAGGAGGGGACTCTCGAAGCCAAGGCTGGTCATCACAGGAGACACCAAACCTAGTAACAACTTGATTTTGAACTACCACAATTCTAAGTGAACTGTTTAAGCTGTCTACTCTTAGGAAATGGAAAAGCAAGTCAGAGGCTAAAAGCTTTTGTAATGTGATAGTGATTAAGAACTCTGGAGCAGGAAAAGATGAGATAGAAACGGGGAAGTGAACAGGACTCTTCCCCTGCCCCCTCTGGTTGTCCGGGATTGAAGACTGTTCCAAAGCTATCCGGGTCCTGTAACCTTTACCCAGCATGAAAATCTTTGTTTCCCAAGGCTTTCACATTTCTGTTACCTTTGTATTTCTATTACCTTTGCAGCCCTATGTTATCTTAATTACCATGTGTATGCTATTTACCTTTTGCTTTCATTCCTCACATACATAAAAACCCTCCAAAGCCTGGACAAAAGGTCTGACTCCTTTGCTGGTTAATAGTTTTGATATGATCCAGGTGTTTCTTATTGGCTCCACCAGCTAGCTATTCCTCCCTCCTGAAGACTGTTACCTTGCCTACAACTGAGCCTCATCTACATCAGAGTCTAGGAATGGGCCTTCCTAAGATGACCTGGGAATAAATAATATGTGGCCCTTGCATGCACAAAATGTGATGCTTGGTCAACGGGGGGATCTGTGAAAGAGAAGTTCCCCTAAAGAACTCCTATACCTTAGACTGAACTTCCTGTAAGGCTGACCAACTGATTACCTTTCCAGAGACTGGAGAGTTGGAATGTTGCAGGTCCAGAGTCTAATTACTGTTTAACTCAGGCCATCTTTAGTCCCCTAAACAGCCACTCCTTACCCACCTCTGTTTCTGATCTAACATTCTGTGAGTAACAGATAAAAAACCTTTTAGAATGTATTATCTACCCCATCACACCAATCAAAAGGCTAAGAATAGTTAAAAAACACTTCGCCTTGCTGTGGCCCACCTACTGAATGTATCCTCCCATGTATTTGAAAAGTGTCTTGATTTATGACTTTTCTTTGTTGCTGTAAAATGTAAGGCAACTGTTACCATGCTAGAACATGGAATTTGGGGTAACCTGAATCTGTGTCCCCAGGCCATGGTCACTCATATTTGGCTCCGGAATAAACTATGTCTTATCCCTTTTGAGGTGAGAGTTATGCTTTTGTGTCGACAAGATGAACCAATTATCTTAAATATATTATCATACTGTATAAACTTTGAGATGCCCTTGTAAGCCTTGAAGCAGGTCTTAAATGACCCAAGTATCCTTTAAAAGTTTAGAGATGATTTACATAGACTTGGAAAATGTTCATTCTATATAAAACATTTAAACACGGAGATAAATTGCACCCTGGAGCAGAAGCAATCATTCCTTAATTTATATTCTTTTTTCAATATTTATTTTTATGTGTAAGTGTGTAACGCCTGCATGTATATAAGTGTACCCATGTCAAGCAATGCTCGCAGCGGACAGAAGAGGCTGTCAGATCCCCTGGAACTGGAGTTACGGACAGTTGTTAGCTGCCATGTGGGTGCTGGGATTCGAACCCGGGTCTTCTGAAAGAACAGTCAGTGTTCTTAACTGCTGAGCTATCTCTCCAGCCCCTAATTTATATCCTTAATAGGAACCATTGTTGTAATTTAACAATTTCAGTTTACAAGAGAACTTACAAGTCAATTTGATGTCTAGTAAATTATCTAATAATTGTTCCCTTAGTATTAAACATAAGTCTACACATTCACAACAGTCTCATATACCAAATACTATAGTTAGACACAATTTCACGACAAACCAGTTTCAAAACCAAGACCAATTACCTTGAAATTCTGATCAGATGTATATAAAACAAACTCTTAAAAGCCAGCAGTACTTTACATATATGTCCATATACATATATACACATACATATATATATGAGAATGTCATCTCAAAAATAGTTGTGTTGAACAAAGCCATACACACTGATGCTAGACATAAGGGCTTTCACGTGAAGAAAGCATTTTCAGAAATATCGTTTACATTTTAAGATGGTAAATATTTCTGACTGGTTTCAAACTCAACTGGTAATGAAAAACAGAATTATATATTTCATTTGTACTTAAAGCTAACCATAGCCAAAAGTTACAGCATGATTATTTAAACAGTTTCCATTAAAGACAATTCCATGGAAGAGGGTAAAGAATGGGATGACAAAAAGTATTTAGCCTTAATAAGGCAACATAGAACCAATCTATTGTTAAAGACCATTTAAGATTAACAATACCAAAAGCATAAAGTAAAGTATAAGAAAATAGTTTTCGGGCTGTAGAGATGGCTCAGCAGTTGGGAGTGCTGACTGCTCTTACAGAGGACCCGGGTTCAATTCCCAGCACCCACATGACAGCTACAAACCATCCTTAACTCCAGTTCCAGGGGAATCTGAAGCCCTCTTCTGACCTCCACAGCATTGCATAATACGGGTGCACTCACATTCATGCAAGCAATACACTCATGCACATAAAATAAAAATAATAAATTTTTTTTTAAGTTTCCGTGAGTCTGATTCAATGACAGCTGTCTACAGTTAACCCTTTCCCATAGTGGCGTGCAGGAACTTAGAAAGAATGAGAGGTGAGAGCATAAGAGCACAGCACACAGGGTCAGAAGAGCTGGCGGTCTGTGACAGTGCGGCTCAGGTTCAGGGCGGTCTTTTGTTTCCTATGAGGAAAAGGTGTGCGTGTGGGGGGACCATTGTTAAGGAAATAAACACAAAATCGTATCACTGCCCAATGTCAAAGAAGACACACTGTAGCGAACAGTTATGAGCTAATTCTCACAGATGTCTAGAGGTTGTTCGGTGTATGAATAAAAGCACATAGTAATTTTTATAAGATAAACAATACTGTCTATAAGTAGTTGTTCTGAACACGTTGTAGTTGTCCCATTTTGTCTCGGGCTGTTCTGGAGGCAAGAGACTGGTTCA